AGAGAGAGAGAGAGAGAGAGAGAGAGAGAGAGAGAGAGAGAGAGAGAGAGAGAGAGAGCACGGACAGTGATCTGTGATTACGGGCCTGCACGGGACTGTCCCATTCACCAGGGCAAGTAAGGAGCACGCGTTCACCTTGGGGAAAAAATATATATATATATATTCAAATACAACAATTTTCTCTTCATGAAATTCAAATAAAAATTCAAATATAACGCATGTGCGTATTATTTGAATAAAACACATATTCGTTATATTCAAAGTGCCTTTGTATTCGAAGAAAAAATCTAACTTTTCGAAAACTGTTTTTTTGAAAAGCTTGAATACAACACATATGCGTTATGTTCGGGGGAAGACGGTAGTACAAGGACCCAGCCTTGCAGTCTTAAACTTGTCGCCATAAAAAAACAAGGCCGAAACGTCAAACATTGGGCCTGTTGTTGATAAATAGGATTGCCGGTTACATTTTCGTTTCGCTCTTCCAGCATTTGAGGTGTCAGACCCGTGGCCCAGGTACCCATGTACCTATGCTTTAAACCACCAACATTTTCGAGCCACTTTTTTGTAGGGCTCAAATTGCCTAGGCAGCAAAAAAAAACAGCTTTTGGTTGGCGCCGACAACTGTTTTCCTTCGACAGCCAACCTTTGAGAGTCGTGGCATGCATGCAGCTTTGTCGAATAAAGATGGTTGCTAAACGCACTGGCCGAATTCAGTTGGTAAGGCGCAAAACTGCCGAATTCAGTTGGTAAGGTGCAACCCATATTGTCTCACCAGTTGCATAGGCTTTTTCTCTTAGTGAGCCCAAAGCCTAGATAGCAGACAATTGAGCCCCAGCCCAACAGAAAAGTCTCCCTCTCTCTCGTTCTTGTTGAAAGGAACGAAGGTGGGGCCCTGGGCCGCGGGCCGCGTTCCCTGAGCCCTCACAGTTAGGCCATATGGGCTGGGATAGCGAGAAGGATACAAAGCAGCTCAGGCACGTTCATGAGGCCTTGGTACCGACTCTACAGCAGCTAGGGTAGGACTTCCAATTCCACTGCCAGTTAGGGATAGCCTTGCGACAAAAAACGCCTGGTTACTGTGCAGGGCAGGTGGAGGCCCCCACCTGGTTACTGTGCGGGGCGGACCCCGAAAGGGCTCGCAGGGGCCTTGGGTGAACCCGGTGGGCAGGCGGAGATAGAAGCCGGAGAGGGTCCTATGTGGTGGGCCGAGTTCATTGGGTTGGGCCTATCATTCGGCCCTTCACAAGCTCTGAGTGTACCTGTTTCGCGCCGTCGATGAGCTCGTCCTTGCGGCCAATCCTACCGCTGAAGCATAGTTTCCAGGCACAGGCAGTGCGGTCGAGGGGTTCAAATCAAGGGCGAACAAACAAATCGATCTCTTTCCGGTTCCGTAGTGTAGCAGGGTGCGCTGTTAGAGCCATCGCCATCGTTTTCCCTTCTCTTGGAAAGGCCCGTGCGGGCGGGATTGTGATCTTGCAGCGATGTCGAAGAGAGGTGCGTCAATCCAACCACCCACTTGCCTTCGTTGCCTCCTCGTCCTAAGATAGTTTCACTCGCCCTTCCCCATCGTGTTCTCTACTTCGTTTGCTCCTCTCTCTTTGTCATCCATGCCGTTCTCTGCTTCGAGGTATCGTCCTTTCCCGAATAGAACAGTCATTATTGGTATTTGCACAGAATACAGCTGGAATGGCAGCGAGGTGTGTTCAGGGAAAGGCAGTAAGTAGTGCTGGTAATGAAAACCAGACAATGCGCCGAGGTTGGACAAACATAGCCGGTGATGTGGAAGGCACGAGGGTTTAGAGAGAGTGAGATCATGTGATGACGATGATGATGATCGTGGAGCGTATGGCAGTTAATAATGAAAGATGATGATGTAATAGAAAGACGAGGTGAAGAAAAGATGGCGTGTAGAAGGGGATGTGTGCGTGCTCAGGCTGTGTGACCGCGACAAGTCCGCGTGATCTGTGTGTTTTGATATGGCGATCTCTTCTCTTTCCTTAGATCAGAAATCTTATTCGTTCGTAGTGACGATGAATTTTCTAGTTGCCCTATTTGTTAACTTGTGCCGGTTTGGTTTTTGCATTATCTTGTGTTTGTATCTGGTCCTAATGCAGGGCGTGGAGGGGCTAGCGGTAACAAATTCCGCATGTCACTGGGTCTCCCAGTGGGTGCGGTTGTTAACTGTGCGGATAATACTGGAGCAAAGAATCTCTATGTCATCTCCGTGAAGGGTGTGAAGGGTCGCTTGAATCGACTGCCTGCGGCAGCGGTTGGCGACATGGTTATGGCGACTGTGAAGAAGGGAAAGCCTGACCTGAGGAAGAAAGGTGTGTGAGTCCCACCCATCCCACTCCATCTATCCTTCGGCAGACAAGCCATGTCGAACGAAATCAGGAATAGCCTTCCATCTATCCTTCTGGTACAAGGCATGACTAATGAAATGAGTATAATTACATCTTCTTCTAATGACAATGCATGACCAACGAGATGGCGATTATAATATTTTGGTTTTCATCATTGATTTCATCCTCTGGTGAAGCCAAGGAAGAAGACTGCATAGGGTCGACTCTGAGGAGGCGTGTGTATCTGATTCCATGGTTAGGTCATGCACTGGAGTTCTGATCCTACTATTATTAGGGTATAATTCCAGCCCATAGGTGCAAAGAAGTCACGATGTCACCTTTCTGCACGTACTGGAAAGAGTTATAAGGGAGGTCTTCTTAACAGAGTAGCTCGGCGATGTTATCTTAGATGCATGAGTACGCAATTAGGGTTTCGTATTGTACTTCGGTGCTTGCTTTGTCTGCTCTTCGTTGTTCTTCTTTGGACTACTTAGGTCGAGAGGTAATCATGATGGAATTATGCGATGGAACCATGATTGCAGCCAGCCTGGATTTTATCAATTAAGGAATGTTCTTATTGGAGTCAAGAAAACTGATTTGTTTTGGAAAAAATGTTAAGGAATTGGTAATTGTTGAGCCAAGTTCGGCTAGTCGATGAGTTGAGCTTTTGTGAACGAAATTCTTAGAATCGGTTTCGGCTTGTTGCGCTGATTGCAGTGATGCCTGCCGTTATTGTGCGACAAAGGAAGCCGTGGAGGAGAAAGGACGGTGTCTTCATGTACTTCGAAGGTACGCCAGATAACTCTCGTTTGCTTGTCTATTTTTTATGCTGAGTGGCTTTCGCGATGCCGCACACCAGGAGAAAGGAGACAATGTGGAAGAGGACAAAAGGAGAAATATGAAGTAGGGAGGAGCGGAGGGAGGGAGGGGAGGGAAGACGAGGGGAGCGGGAAACGTGGGGGGAGGTAGGGAGGGAGAGGGAAAGGGGGGGAGTTAAGGCGAGTCTCGTTTGCTCTGTTGATGCTGAGTGACGTTTGTGATGCTGCACGCCATGAGAAAGGATAGCGTGATGGAGAGAAAAAGAGGAAAGCAGGGCGCCCTTTAGGGTGACGGGGGTAGGGAGGGGTTGAATGGAAGAGATGGAGGGACGGAGGAGGGGAGGGCGGAGAAACGAGAGGAAGGTATGGAGGGAGAAGGAGAGGAGGGAGGGTAATGACGTAGGATGGAAAGGTAGGTGGAAGCTATAGAAGGAAGGGCTGCAAAACAAAAGCTGCTGAGGTAGAGGCCGGCTTGGACTGCTGGATTCATCAAAAAGACTGGCGGAACGGGGCATTTGTGCATGATCGCCCACAGAAGAAAGAAGACAGGGAGGTGGTTGACGAGACGGAGAGCGGAGATCTTTACGCGCACGCGGTCACGCACGCAGGGTGAGCGTGAGAGAGAGAGAGAGAGAGAGAGAGAGAGAGAGAGAGAGAGAGAGAGAGAGAGAGAGAGAGCTGTGCGCGCGGGAAATGAACGAAGAGGATGGCAAACGGGTAAACGGGGAGAACGCGGAGACCGCCGAGGCCATCGCGCAGAGCGACCGAGAGAGAAGTCAGAGGGAGTAGTGGGAGACAGACGATAGGGGCACAGAGGAAATGCATGGCAATTCAGAGATTAACGGAGACGCGGAAAAACAGACCAATTGGGCTGAGACATCAGGAGAGAAGCAGGCAGACGATCAACAACCTGAAAAAGTGGACGTGACAATTGTGGAGAACCGTATCTCCTGGAGGTGGTGAAGTTTTTCTCTTTGTCGTGTATTTGTTGTTGTTGGTCCTTTCTAGATTAATCATTATCTCGTTTTATTTATCAATTTTTGTAATGAAACCCTCATGTTTCCGTCTTCTGACTGCTTTGCTTCGTTTTGTTCCATCAGATAATGCGGGAGTTATTGTGAATCCAAAGGGAGAAATGAAGGGTAAGTAGTCGCCAATGGATAACAGGATGTTGTCGTTGTTGTGTATGTCCGTTTTGCAGCTCAATTGTCGTTGATTATACGCGGTGGTGTCTCCCTAAGGTTTTCGTTGATTGCTGAGTGCCGTGTGAACGTTGCAACGTGGATACGTGTTGGTGATGGCGTATGTGTCCTCGTTGTCCACCGAGTTTTTTCTTTCTTTTTATGGCTGTGTTTTTCGTTGTTATGCGTCTTCCCTCTGCGTCTGTACCGAAAAGTGGCCAAATACAGCTATAACGACTGTAATTGTATGCGGGAAAGGACTTTAGGTCAAGGACACGACGAGAGCGGAACGGGACATTGGACAAAGAACACGTGAAATCACAGCACGACGATTATGTTCATTCATCGCTGAACGTGTGAAGCTGTGGAGTGGAGCATGATGGGACAACGCAGATCGTGGGGCAGATTGCTCGTTGTGTAGGTGGATGTTGTGAGGTCGCATTACGTTTTCTCTTCGTGTGAGCAGCGTTGATTTCTTATGCTGATTTGATCTCCATCATGGAACGTTGTGTGATGCAGGGTCGGCTATAACAGGACCTATCGGGAAGGAGTGCGCGGACTTGTGGCCCAGGATTGCAAGCGCCGCGAACGCGATCGTCTAGCCGAAGTTGTCTTTGCTTCCACCCTCACAGCGCGGTTCCTAAGGTACAAATCAATGACTGTTCCATTCCACATAATGCTGACTTCATGTGGTCCAGGATTTCCCAATGGATCTCATGGCAGAAGAATTTCTTCCCAGTATCGCCTAAAGATTCTCATCATGGAGCCCTAATTTGTGGAACGTTTGATGAATCAAACCTTCACTCAGCGCGGAACCCTAATTTGTGGAACGTCTCCTCCAAGTATCTCATCACACAGCGGCAATTCCTTCAATGTCAGTACAGGATTTCCTCGTTTTCTAGGGATGGCAACATCTTAAGCCTATTAATTAAATAATCTCTATTTCAACCGTGGTTTACTTCTCGCTTGGTGTTTTTGATACTCTTCTCCCTTGATGTGATGTTGCTGTGAGTATCGACACAGTAGTTTCCGATACTTCTCCTGTGGGCACTTTTGTCTATCAATGAAAGCCGGCGAACAGGTCTTAACAGTGGAAGGTTTCGGTCATTAAGTCGAGTTTCTGGTGATAGAACGAGAAGGGAGTTTCATGTGGAAGGTTTTAATGGAATCGTGCGATGAGTGCCTTAAAGTGGAAGGTTTCAATGAGTGAGTTGATTTCCTGATCAGAATGAGCGAGAAGGGAACGAGATAAGGGAACGCAAGAAGTGTATGAAATATTGTGAAAGCTTGCAAGACGAGCGGCGATGGGGGAACTACAGAAGTAAATGAAAGAACGTCTCGCTGTTGTAGTTTTTGTAGTACGAGGGTGCTTGAAGGTCACTTTTTGTATGTCTGTTTTTCTTTTTTATTCTGTTTTTCTTTTGTTGTGTCGAGTATTCGTCGATCGTGACGCCGATTGGTTGTAATAACGCGAATCTTCGGCTTTTGTCGGTCGGTTTTGTGTTGTTGTTTTGTTTTGGCTCTTCGACCAACCAGCTGCTTCTCCGGTATCAGGCGGTCGTTTGGATTGAATCAAGAACTTCGACGACTTCGCGGCCATCTCTGAGCTGGAACGGCCGAGAGCGCTTACCGTTTGCCTGCACGTGTTGACATACACAGTGAACCGTTTCGGTGGAAATGGAAATGGAAATGGGAGCGTAATTATCCGTAGGGCAGGAATTGTTAGGTTCTTGTGGTGTCTTATATTCCGCCCTCGTCTCTGGTGGTATTGGTTCTCTCGTGTGCTTAGTGTTTCTTCGCTTCGCCATCGTCGGCTGACGTTTGAGTAAACTGGCGTCGTGTCGCATAGACGGAGAGGAAGAGTCGGTCGTTTGCGGATCGACGTGTAATTGTTCTGTAGAGGGAATCGGGTTATTACCGAAACGATGCTGGATCGTTTGGGCTTGACGAGGACCTAACTTACCTAGCGTGAGACGGTGAAGTCTGGTTGCTTCTCTTTCTGCTCTGATGTTTCGAAAGAGTGATGAAAGGCTTTGTTGTCCTTGAGGGTAATTCTTCCCACGAAAATGTTGTTTGTCGATTGATGAAGTTGATGCAAAAACAAATCGGGATCGTGTTTTTTTACGTTATCGCATCGCATTTGGAGTCTGCGGCGTGCTTTGAGCTGTGACGTGGCATATGCTGGTTTTGTTGTCCTTCGCGTCCGCATGTTTGTTGTATCTGGGTGAGAATTTGTTTGTGTACATGAATGGCGGATCTCGGAATGCTCGCAATGGTCATAAATCAATAATAGTTAATAACGAGTTTCAATGATTGTGGCAATTTAGAATAAGCTGTTAAGTTGTGATAGTCATGAGAATGGAAGTGGTTCGTCTGATGTGGAGTATAATGAAGTATAGTACTGTGATCTCGAAGAGTGGTTGAGGTTTGGGTTATGTAAGCTCTCTATGTATGCTCTAGAATGGAATTGGTTCGTCTGGTTTGGAGTATCGTAAAGTGGAATACTTTGTGATCTCGAAGAGTGGTTGGGGTTTGTGTTATGTAAGCTATTTTGTGGGTATATCATAATCTTGGGTCTGATATAGCAGGGTGGGGTGTCTGTGTACCCAAGGGTCGCCTTTTTGTTTGTTCGGGCGACCGGCACAATGTGGTTCCCTAAGGGGTTGTGGAAGATTGGGACCAGTAGCTGGTGGTCTCGGATTGTCTCTGGTCTTTTATGGGTATGGTACAGCTGTTGGGTGGGGTCTCTTTGTACCACAGGCTCGTTTTTGTTTGTTCGGGCGACCGGCGCAATGTGGGTTTCTAAGGGGTTGTGGAAGATTGGGGCTGGTAGCTGTTCGTCTCGAATCGTTGCCGGTCTTTGGACTGCCTGCACTGGAGGACGGGTATTTGTTGAAAAAATGGTCTCGCTCTCGGCGGACCTTTTTGTGATAAATACCCTTCCTACAGTGGAGGGCGGGGTTTTAGGATGTGGGTGTGTTGTGTTGAAGTCCAGAATACGCCAAGTGGGAAGGGGTCTAGGTATATGCTTAGCACAAGCGATTAACCGTCCTGGTTAACACCCTCAACCCTGAAAAGTGCATTGGAGATCACTGTTTGGTGAAGGTCTGTGTGGTGCCAAGTTTGGCGTTTGTTGGGGTCTTGGAGCTGACTGTTTTGGCTAGCCCTGAAGAATCCTGAAAATCCTGGAAACTGAAATGAGTGAATTTTTTGCATGAAAACACACATTTGTCTTGCTGTTTTATAGCTTTTTAAAGTTCCTTTTTTAATTAAGCTTTTGTAAGTAGTTAGTATGATCTCCACTCTATGAATTGGTGGCAAGTTTGGTTAAAATGACCCTTGGGTTTTGTTATAAATGGCCTGACAAGTGGTCTGAAAATTGAGGCCTCCGTTAACCGTCTCGCAGTGCAAAATGACCACCAGAGTTTCGGTGTTTTTTTGTGCAAAATGACCACCAGAGTTTCGGTGTTTTTTTTTTCGGGATGAAATCACGATATGTATTTTCAAGTGAATTCAAATTCTATCTACATTGACAAGTCATTTCAATCCACAGGAGACATGCTAGCTTCTTTTGTGTCGTTCTAATTTTGACAGGAATCCAGATCAGGTTCTGCGACATGAGAGAAACTAATTAAACAACGTACAAACATTTGGGCACAACCGAATGCATAGGTAGCTAGCAGCGGTCTCCTGTTCAGCGGCCGAGTACGATTGGAGTGCTGGTTTGTGTTCGAAAACCTGATGGGCCCAGTGCTCGACGCGATGTCTTGCCTGCGAACGCAATAGAGAATATGCAGCTGGAGTCTGCGGGGCATTTGATGGCACGTTGTCACAGCTTTGGGAAGTGTCGTTTGGGAGCAGGTTGCGGTCGCCGGTCGATCTGCGCAAGTGCTGCTTCTCAGTGCTTAAGAAGCTACGTATCGCGGCGGAGTATTTGGAAAGCTACTTCTCAAATAGTGTCAGTCTGATAACGCGGAAGTTCTGTTTGCCCCTACTACCAGGAGCTGGCACGGTAATGCGTAGATAATTAGAGGTAATGACGTTCAGGCTGTGGACTTGCTGCTGCATCGAGAACAGCAAACGAATGACGCGCAGGTTGAGGACTCTCGGGCCGGCTATTAGTACAAGAAAAAGTAGCAGGGGGTGTGTACTGAGGCACAAATGCTAATTGGAGAGGGCGCGCTTGGGGGTGTGTACTGAGGCACAGATGGTAATTTGGGAGGGAGCGACGGAAGTTTCATGCTACGAATCAATTGCAAATAATCAAGGCATGAAATGCTTCTGACAGGTCGAGGACGCCGAGACACAAGTACCATAAGAGATGGAACAGATGATGCGGTGGGCTATGAGTTCGCGTAACACAAGTACCATGAGAAATGGAACAGATGATGCTGTAGGCTATGTAGTTCGCGTAACAGTGTTATAGGGAGTGGGCAGGGGCGAAGAACGCACGGGGAAAGAGGACGAGAACGTTCAGACAGTACCTACCGTCTGTACCCGAATAAGAGATGGGGATGGTAGTCAACTGGTCGCTGCAACACTGTGCAGATTGGGCGGGGAAGCGGAGGCGATGAGCGAACAGGGAAGGGTGTTCTTAGGCAAAACGATCATCTCTCTAGCCGCGTCAGTCTCTGCGACACAGGAGGGAGATGCTACCGAGTTGGCGGGGATTCCCTTCGGTAAGGGGTGTGGTTATTGAAGTCCAATTTCTTGCGGGGGGGATGAAGACGGCCACCTCTGTATCTTATCGCCGTGGGGTTGTGCATTTCCGACCCACGCGAGAGGGAGCTGCGGATAGGATTGACAGCTACGGTCACCATTGGGTCAAAAATGAAAGTGTGGTGCTTAATGATTGTGCAGATTTTGGGGAGATCGGTGATTTTCACCGTCCGCTTTTTGCAGGTCGGATGTGCTCTGCCGGATTGTGCGCCCAGTGGTAGTATGGGGGTGTTTGGAAGGAAGGAATGTTCCGTCGATCGAAGAGGAAAGATTTTAGGGGAGATGGCGATAGGGGCAAAGAAGTAGAAGGCGGCTGTGTGACGTGTCACGTGACCACGGTCACGTGACACGATTGAGTTGTGTTTACTTTCGTTACGTTCCAAAATCTCCAGGGTAAAAAGATTTGGCTCCTTACCCAAATACACAGAATCCTTTGTCGAGCGGGGATGCTTTTTTGTGCTCGGAATCAGAAGGGGAGGAACGATCAGAACAAATTGGAGGGCCGTTTCCATATGTATGATGACCATAGGCTGATCGCTCAGCTGTCAGGACGATTTTGTGGTCCCCGCAGTGACTCAAACGGTGATAACGATGGTTTAACTGAATGAGTACGATACGAAGTGAGGGTGGGGTTAAGAAGATTTCTCGCTTCCTTCGTCGTTCATCAGCTCACAAGCGAGGTTCCAGGTCTTTCCTCGATGCATCTGACCTGAATTACGTCCTGACCTGTATGTACGTGACCGCAATTACGTGTGGAGCTCAGTAGAAAAGTGGTCGTACTGTGACTAGTCCATTTCGTGGGCAACGACCATTTCACGTCCGCTTTTAGAAATTTCAGTTCCGCAAGAAGGTGGTGCAGCACGAACCAGAAACTCCATGGGGTGGTAGTAGTGTGTGGAGGTGTGCAATTCTGAGCACTTGCTGGTGTTTCCTCTATAATTTTTATAATCGCCATGATTACAATAACGCAATCCACCAGGATGCATCGAAGGCTGAGCGGACTTGAAGAATGTTGAGATAGATCCGCGCCTTCAGCATGCAGAGTAGATCTTTGGTACGACTCTGGCTGTCACTCTGGCTCTTCTTCGGTTTTGGGAATTTTTCGGGCTTCCTTGCTGTAACTGTGGCATTGATGAATGTCCATAATTCTGGGAGTTCTCATTTCTTTATTGTTGTATGAGACGACCTTGAGATATGATCTTTCTGAACTGACCGGCCCTAGGTTATTCATGATTCAGGATTCTAGTATGTTACTCGTTTGCTTCTAGTGGAGTCCGAACTCCACTGGAAGCAAACGAGTATGGTGTACCAACTGAACTACGTTCTTCCCTCGAATACAAAAAGTACGTCTTTCGGTCTAGATACAGCTATAATGACCGTATTGTTTTGTATTCGGGGAAAGGTAGGAGAGCGGGTAAGGGGGGATGTTTTCTTGTACGCGGGGTAGAACTTCCTGCGCGGGGGCTTTATTAGGACACGGTCGGATGGCAGACTTCTTCTGTGTACGTAGTAGGATGTGCTGCGACTTCTTTAGCCCAATGGAGGACTTTTCGACGGATGTGCTGTGACTTGAAACTCTACGTTTGATTTGCTGTTCGTCTCCTCGGAAGAGTGTAAGCAGTGCTGCTCGTGTATATATACATGTATATAGTTGGCATTATTTGGCTGTTCCCTTCCTTTTTTCCTTGCCTCTTTGACTTTTGGCCGTGTGCAAGTGGGTCGATATGACACACGGGGGTGGGGGTAGCCGCCGCTGAACCTACATCCACGTGGGCGGCCTTGTACGCAAGAGGTTCTGAACAGGGGGAGCTAACGAAGAAGACAGAAAACTGAATTCATTTATTCCTGTTTTTGTTTCTTCTTTTTCTTTCTTTTTCTTCGCATTTGCGCTCTGATATTCTTGTGACTGTATATGTAGTTGGCATTGCTCTTCGTAAACCATGCATGCTCTAATGTTTAGAAATTAAAAACAATAGGCCGAACAGGGAATAAACCCGGGTGATCGGTCCCACATACATGGAAGCATCGCTACGCTCGCCAAAATAGACCGAACAACGGGACAAAACTAACAGGGATGCAGAGAGGGGGGCCAAAAAACAAACATAACAGATCCTAGATGACAAGTCCCACATGCAAAAGCACTGACCCCTACATCACACAGGCCAAACGACCTGAAATAGATCCCTGAATTTCCTTCCCTGAATACAATGTTGCTCGTGGATGACAAGTCCCACATGAAACCAGCGCCACGTGGACCTAACGACCCACGTGAAAACACCGCCACGTCGGCCGAGCAACGAGACGAAATCAACCCGGATGCAGACGAAGAGGACCCAGAATATGAACAATTCTCCTATAGCCACACTTGAAAAAACGGAACCATGCAGTAGGGTCGTAAAACGAAGTACCCTAAAAAATGACTTAACCTCATGCAGGAAATGGTCCAGGGGTAAACATCTGTAAAAAAGGTACTGCACTTTTTACATAAACTAAAGTAAAAGAAGTTACTGCATTTTTTAGATAAATTAAAGTGAAAAAAGTTACTGCATTTTTTAGATAAACTAAAGTAAAAGAGTTGGTGCACTTTTTAGATAAATTAAAGTAAAAAAAAGTTACTGCACTTTTAAGATAAGTTAAATTAAAAAAAAGTTACTGCACTTTGTAGATAAAGTAAAGTGAAAAAAGTTA